TCTCTCTCTCTGTCTCTCTCTGGTGAATTTTCCCTTTCTCTGTCTCTCTCTAGTGAATGTGTTCTATATATAAGTTGTGACCTCTAGGAAAACAGTAAAGCAGTAGGCATACTTGCCTTAGTTATTTTGCTGGAAATATTTCTAATATTCCATCATTAGGTATGACATTATATGGGTCCTTTTATAAAACTCAGAAATTTTTTTTTGAAGATTTTGCTATAGGGCACATACACTTGTCAGAAAGCAGAGAGAGACAGACAGACAGAAACCAAAAAATCACCCCCCAGGAGAGATAGCCACACTATAATTTCTTCTCCATTCTCCTCTTGGGATCTTGGGCACACACGCACACGTGCCCGGAGTGAGTTTAAGCCACCGGGTCTGGGACTCGAACTGCAATTGATTACATGGGAGTCCAGTGCCTTAACCTCCACACCACCTGCTGGTCCCATTTTGTTTCTTACACTTTGAGTTGAATTGCTGTACTTTTGGATCAAATACCAATGCTATCCAAGGGCAAAGAAATGGAGTAAAATAATCAAGCTATAGAAGAAATGAAACGTGTTATGCCTTAAATATGCTGAATATTACATTATGCAGAATTAAATACACAGAGAGAACAGTACCACTCAGCAAGACCGAGATGTGAGGGATTCACTGATTAGGAATGCATTCCACAAGGGAAGCTAACAAAACATTGCGGATGGTACATGCTGTTCAAGGCTGAAGACAAGAACCACCATTTTTTCCCAAAACAAAGTAAACAGTACACCATTTCCTAGCTAAGTATATGGTTTTCAAATTTAATTCATCACGTGTTCTCTAAGTTTTCAGGCATCGTGAGCACGAAGGATGACCAGGGTAGGGGTGCACAGCCGGCAACGAGCTAGGACTATGACTAACCTGAACCGTTTGAGGTGCAGTCTGAGGACCTGAGGCAGGTGGCATATCGTAAGTTGTTTCTGGGCTTCTGTGAGGATAACTGGTTTTGAGGAAAATCTTCTACGCTTTGCTGGATTATCAAAGAAAAATGAAAATCAAGTTTTATTAAAGCATGCAGTAAAAAGCTAAGTAAACTGTTCTTTTTTATTTTTAGTTTGTTATAGGGCATGTGTACTTGCTGGAGAAAGGCAGGGGGGGCGGAGAGAATGTGAGAAAGTACCACTGCAGCCCCATCTCCACTCTTCTGTGGATTTTGAGCACAATCTCTCATGCATCCAGCATTATTTTTCAAACCACCAGGTCTGGGACTCAAACCATGTAGTGGGTCATAAGGATCCAGCTGCCTTGACAATATACCACCTGCTGGCCCTAGACTTTCTTTTTAATTCACACATGAGCTACTTAAACTTGTTCCAGGCATCATGGGCTTTGTACTCTTAAAACTTAGAATCTAAAATTAAAAAAATAATTACAGAGACCAGCAGTTAGTGTAATGGCTATGTCGCTGGACTCCCATGTAGTTGACCATGGTTCGCGTCCCAGACCCGGTGGCTTAAAACTCACGCCGGGTGTGTGTGCGTGCGTGCCCAAGATCCCGAGAGGAGAATGGAGGAGAAGGGACTGTGGCGTGGCCATCGCCCCTGGGGGGGTGATTTCTCTCTTTCTATCTCTCTGTCTGTCTCTGTCTGTCTGGTGAAGCACACGAGACCTGTAGTAAAAACCTCTTAAAAAAATAATTATTATTATAACGTGGAGCCAGCAGGTGGTATGGCGGGTTAGGGTTGAATTCCACCATGGCTGACCACTGTTCAAGTCCTGGGCCTGGTGGCTTGAAAATCACAACTAAATAGATAAATAAATAAATCTTTTTTTAAAAATTAAAAGCTAATCCAGAGAGAAAGATAAATAAATGCATGACTTAATAACTGTCCTCCAAATAACATGACTGCTGCTATTAATATTTAAAAATGGACTCAGTGGGGCCAGCAGATGGTGTAGAGGTTAAGTTCCTGGACTGCCACCTGGCAACCATGGTTCGAGTCCTGGATCCGGTGGTTTGAAAATCACGCTGTGTATGTGCATGCATGCCCAAGATCCCAGAAGGGATTGCAGTGTGGCCATCCCTGCTGGGGGATGATTTATCACTTTCCCTCAGCTGTCCCTGTATCTCTCTCTCTCTCTGGCAAGTGCATGTGCACTAAGACAATAATCTCTTAAAGAAAAAATGGACTCAGCCATACCAGTTATAGCATACTGCTAATAGTATTTGAAAATGGACTCCACTATGCCAATTAATGGGAAAAGCTAAAGCTCTCTCCAAATGCATTTTAGTATACATTTCCCAAAGTAGGGAAAAGTGTGTAGTATGGTGGGGAAGGCAGCTATATCCTACGTGGCCCAGTGTAGTTCAAGCCCTGGATCCAGCAACTTGAAAAACACGTCTGCACGTGTGCCCCAAATCCCGAGAATGGAGAAGGGACTGGTGTGGCCATCCACCCCGGGGGGTACATTCTCTGTCTCTCTTTCTCTCTAGTGAATGTACATGCCCTATAGCATGTTTGAAGGAAGGAAAGGAGGAAGGGAGGGAGGGAGGGAGAAAGAGAAGGAGAGGAAGGGGCAGGGAAAGGGCAAAAAAAAAAAAGAGAGAGGAGAGGAGAGAGGAATGTGGTCAGTTTGTTTATAGAGGCTAATCAGAACCTGAAGGGGCATAGGCCCTCACTGCCCAAACATCTCTCCACCTTTCCTGGGGATCCCCCCCAGCCCTGGCTATTGGCCTACTGCCCTAAAAAGCTAGGCCTGGGATCGGCAGGTGACATGGCGGTTAAGGACTCCAGACTCCCACATGGGCAACCATGGTTCGAGTCCCGGATCTGGCGGCTTACTTTCTCACTTTCTCTCTCCTTTTCTTTCTCTCTCTCTGTCTCTCTCCCTCTCTGGTCAAATAAGAATAAATAAAGTTAAATAATTCTTTCCCCCAAAAAAACAAAAACCAAACCAAAACAAACACAGCAGGCCTTTTTGAGCTCTGTCTTGAGACTTCCCGCATCAATGTCCTGCTTTTGTTCTTCAGTAGCTCACTTTGGACAGGTGGAAACTGGGATTCTTCCTGTCTCCTCTGCGTCTCTACCTACAGACTGTGTCTGCGGCGGCTGGCTGCCAGAGTCAAGAGCAGCACTTCACTTGCACACTAGCTGACTGTCATCTTGTTGCTGTGTTGCAATCCTACCTCGGCTTCCCAGGTCCTGGGGCTGTGGGCGTGTGCTATAGTGCCCAGCTTTTAGGGTGGTCCAGGTTTCGAACCAGGACCTCCTGGCAGCTGTTGTTCATGTAGGAGGTGGAATTGGTCCACAGTGAGGCTGTCCTCGAAGCCATTTCCACTGGCCACCAGGAACCTTTCTTCCAGGTCTGACCCCAGATCCAGGTTCTTGGCTGTGCTGTGTCCCACACCTGCCTTGACAGTTTCCTGGAACACCTGGTCCAAGTTTAGCTAAATAGAAGGTGTCAACTCCTTGATCTTTAATTTTAAACACTCTTCTTTATGTATGGGGATAGTTCTTTTAGGCCTGTGTGTGTGTGTATATTTTTTAAAATTTTTGCTATAGGGTGTGTGTTCTTGCCAGAGATAGAGAGACACATGCTCAGTTCATAAACAGTACTCATAAAATAGAAATGTCCAGTCTGAATTCTTGTGATGAACTTAAAGTAGTTCATTCTGGGGGCCAGCAGGTGGTATGGTAGTTAACGGCACTGGACTCCCACAGGGCAGACTGCAGTTCAAGTCCCAGACCTGGCGGCCTGCTCTCTCACTTTCACTCATTCTCTCTCTCTCTCACTCTGCCCTTCTCTGTCAAATTAAAATAAAGTTATAAAAGTAGTTCATTTTCATAGCTGCTATGAAGGACTGTCTTCCAGCTTCCTCTCTTTTGTGTTTCTCTTTGTCAGTCTTAGGAAAGCACAGAGAACGGACGGTTTCTACTCACAGTTACACTGGTCACATACGTAGATTTTCCCTTCTAAAGCTTCGGTTTCTGTAAACTTAGCCAACATTTCAGTAACCAGACATGGCTGGGAAGCAGTATCTTTCCCACTGCATTGGTATCTTTCTGGAAATTCCAGGGACAAGTCCCAGAAAGGTTCTATGGTATTTGATTTGTTGTCACATGCGAGACATGTAACCTGCAAATAAAAATATTAGTTCCTCAGATTATAGTTCTTCCATTGACATATGGACTCCTTTCTTTTTTAAATAGTTATTTATGTAATTTTATTTATTATTATTATTCTTTTTAATTTGACCAGAGAGAGAAAGGGAAAAATGAGAAAGCAATCTGCCAGCTCCAAGACTCGAACTGTGGTAGGTCATGTGGGAGTCCAGCATCTTAATCACATTATCTGCTGGCCCATGAACTCCTTTCTTTTTTTAAAGAATTATTTAATTTAATTTTATTTATTTACTTACTTATTTTCATTTGACCAGAGAGTGACAGAGAGAGAAAGCAAGAGAGAGAGAGAGAGAGAGAGAACAAGCCACCAGGTCTAGGATTTGAACCACAGTCAGCCATGTGGGAGCCCAGCACCTAACCACTGAGCTACCCACCAGCCCCCATGATCTCCTTTCTGAAGGTCACTTCCGGTAAGTAGCCTTTTCTTCTGAAAATGTACAATTAGAATTGTGAACAATCTGCTTTATAGCCTAGTCAGAAAATTTCTTATTTCAACTTCCTTCCAAATAATTGTTAGGAAGCTATTATGAACTGAAGCTTCAACTACTGGCCACGCAAAAATCTCCAATAGTGTTTAGTCAGATCTAGAATTTAGGTAAAAACCAAACTCACTTGATAGACACTATGCCTCTGTGTGTGTGTATGTATGTAACACATATGTGCATATGCACGTACACATTAATGTTTTCATTAGACTTGAAGTTCTTACCTTTTTCCTTCATATTTTGAAAGCAAATTTCCCCTTTGTGATTCATGAAAGAACACATATGAGAGAGAGAGAACATGCACCCCGAGTCTGGTCACACACTATCCCCTCCCTCCAGCCTTCCAGCTCTTCAGATCTTGGGCACACGTGCCCGGCATGTTCCCAACCAATGGGGCTGAGGATTCGAACTGCGAGTACCGCATGGGAGCCGGCTTCTCTTGAGCAGTGCATTATCACTGGGCTGGGCCTCTCCTCATCTTTCACTGACTTTTTTCTCACCCCAATCCTATCCTTTTAATCACTACCTTAACCACAACACAAGTAAAATACTATTAGTGGTTTTTTGTTTTAAGTTTATTGATTCCTTCCATGGGGAGGGACCCCAACAGGGTCTTTCTTCGTGCTGCCTGCTATCCACCCTAGTCTCAGAGAGCCTGCACCATGGGCAGGTGCTCAGTCCAGAGAGGCCTCAGGCACGAACCTGGGACCTTTCCACATGGGCCTGGCATAACAAGAACACTTGCTACCACTGTGCACGGGCTGGCCCAGTGTATTTTCACTATTCAGATTCTGAAGCCCTACCAAGTGAAAATTTCCGAAGACACTACATATAACAATGTCATGCTCCCACTTAAAAGAAATATCACATTAAAATTCCCATCAGAACATAGATGACTCCCTACGTATAAAGGTTCAATGTAAGATTTTTCAACTTTACAATGGTGCAAAATACATGTCCCATAGAAGCCATACGTTGAGTATCCTGTACAACCATTCTGTTTTTAATTTTCAGTACCGTGTTCGACAGATTACATAAGATATTTAACACTTAATCATAAAATAGCTTCACACTTAATCATAAAATAGCTTCGTGTTAGATGATTTTGCTCACTGTGGTCATATTTAACTGTCTAGAGAATACGTACGGTAGACTAGGCTAAGCAATGTTGTTCAATATGTTAGGTAATTAAGTGTATTTTTTTCCTTGCAATATTTTCTACTTACAATGAATTTATAGGGACGTAATCCCTGTTCAGTCAGAGAGCATCTACACAGTGGAGCAATTCTAACAACTTATACAGTCAATGTAGAAAGGAAAGGAAATTAGTATTAACTTCACTGAAACATTCAGCAAGATTTACGTCAGAAACTAACACACATCACTGACAACACACTGAGTACACATGTTATGAAATATTACGAAGAAGCTTTTTCAAATAGGCTGCTGGCGGCTGGCTGACATCAGAGTGGTAAAACGTGACACTCTGAGAGGCTGACCCACAGGGGAAAGGGTTCACATCCAGAGACCTGAGTGTGTCCCCGTGACCTGAGTGAGGCTGGCAGTGGCCAAGGGAGGATCTATCTTTTTTTTTTTTAAAGATTTTATTTATTTAACTTAATTAATTAATTTATTTTCATTTGATCAGAGAGGGACAGAGTGAGCAAGAGAGAGAGAGAAAGCAAGAAAGCAAGCTGCCAGGTCCAGGACTTGAACTGTGGTTGGCATTGTGGGAGTCCAGTGCCCTTAACCACCATGCTACCTGCTGGCCCCGTGGATCTACTTTTATAGTATGTATTTAGCAATATACGTAGGAAAGAAAAAGTTGAACAAAACTAAAGTTCAATTTTATCCTGTGAATGATCTTTGCAGCCAAATAATTTTTCTTTCTTAGGCTACTGGGCGCATGTACTCACCGGGAAGTGAGAAAGCACTCCCCAGGGGGGATGGCCATCCAATAACCCCACGCCCTCCATTCTCCTGTCTGGATTTTGAGCACATATGCACACATGTCTGGTGCAATTTCCAAGCTAATTGGTCTGGGACTCAAACTGCACTGCTGGCCGTGTGAGATCCAACTGTCTTAACCACCCTGCCACTTGCTGGCCCCCAATAAATCTTAAGCATTAATAAAAAAAAGCTAATTCCTAAATTTCAGATAATTTCCTCTTCAGCAGTTTAAAAAACTCATCAGTCTCTTTCAAAAAAATTCTCCTCTGCAGTCCTAATTACCATGTACCTCACAGACCCCTACAGTTAAACTTGAACCTAATCTTAGAGTCGTGTTTCTTACTACTGGGCCATGGGTTACACCTCAAATGACAGAGCCAGGTGGTGGCACAGTGGGAAGGCGACTGGACCCTCACGGCAAAGGCCCTGGGTTTGCAGTTGGGGACCCTCTGAGTACTCTGTGTGTGTGAGCCCGTGATGCAGGCTGGCCGAGACTGAGGGCCGGTCATTGTCAGAGGCCTTGTTGGGGGTGCTGCTTCTCTCTCTCTTTTGCTTATGGAAAAAAAAACAAAACTTAAAGGCAAAAGTTATCTTCCTGGCCCAGGCAACAAGAAGCTAGTGCTAATCATGATTTTAGATTTAACAAATTAACACAAGGATTACTCTTGGCATTTAATCTGGGGACTCGGTAGCTTCAGGGCTGGATTTTTGAGAAGTGTCAGCAGATGGCACGGTGCTTAAGATGGTGGATTCCCACATGGCAGACCGTGGTCTGAGTCGTGGACCCACTGACTTGAAAATCGTGGAGATTGCATGAGAGCCCAAAATCCAAGAGGAGAATGGAGAAGGGATTGTGGTGAGGCCATCTCCCATGGAGGGCCATTTCTCACTCCCCCCCCCCCTGGTGAGGGCGCATGCCCTATGGCAAAACCTGAAAAAAAAAAAAAGAGAAAGAAATGAACTGATAAAAAAAATGTTTAAATAGTCTACAAGTCAACAAGAGGGAAATGAATGGACAGGAATTTTCCAAAATATTTATAGTTTTACCTATAGGCTGTGCAGTTTGTGATGAGGGTATGATTTTTCTTTTCTTATGTACACAGTCTTCTCTTTTTTCAAAAAGAATTGTTTTATTTATTAATTATATTATTATTATTATTTCACATGAATTTTGCCAGAGAAAGACACACACACAGAGAGAGAGAGAGAGAGAGAGAGATCAAGCCACCAGATCAGATCCAGGACTCGAACCATGGCTGACCCTGTGGGAATTCCAACACCTTAACCACCATGCCACCTGCTGGCCCCTGTATACAGTCTTTTCTTCTGTATGTATTTCCTGTATTATACAGACCTTCCATAACTACATATTGTACTTATAATAGTGTATTTTGGAGCTGGCTGGGGGTGGTGTAGTGGTTAATGCAGCTGGATCCCACATCCGTGGTTCAAGTCCCAAACCTGGTGACTTGAAAAACTATGCCAGGTGCATGTGTTTGCATACCCAAAATCCCAAGAGGAGAATGGATGAGAAAGGACTGTAGTGTGGTACCCCAGGGAGTGCTTTCACACTTTTCTCTCTCGCTGTCTCTCAGTGAATATATGCACTCCATAGCAAATTTTTTAAAAAGTGTACTGTAAAATTTTTTCATAGAAAATATAGAAATGAATGAAAAATAGAAAAAAAAATAAAAAATAAAATGGCATGTAACAATTTGTTTTTGCTATATGGTATAATGTAGATATTTCAATATTTTTGAAACATTAACTGAGATAAACATATAATTCTTAAGAAAATTACATCTGAAATATTTAAGTAACATTCTAGAGAAGTAAGCTATAAATAAAAGATAGGAGTAACAAACTGAGATGCTGCCTAAAAAAAAGCCAGGTATAAGGGTGTGTGTCTATAGTCCTGGCTGGGAGGCTGAGGACTTCAAAATAATATACAGTGTATTCTGGATGGAAAAATCTCATTTTGTATGCTATAATGATGTATAGTAAATGAATGTAAATAAATTTAAATTTAAAAAATAAAAGAAAAAAGAAAAAACTTAAAGATATATATATATTTTTTAAATAAATAAATAAAGGGGCAGGTGGCGTGGTGGTTAAGGCACTGGATTCTGACATGGCCAACGGTGGTTTGAGTCTCTGACCAGTGGCTTGCTTTTTTTTTCACTTTCTCTTTCTTTCTCTCTCTGGTCAAAATAAAAAATAATAAATAAAATTAAACAAATAATTCTTTAAAATAAATAAATAAATAGCCATGGGGCCAGCAGGTGGCTTGGTGGTTAGGTTCTTGCACTACCATGCGGCCAACCATGGTTCACGTGTGCTGGACCCGCTGGCTTGCTTTCTCACTTTCCCTGTCTCTCTCTGGTCAAATTAAAATAACAAATAAGATTAAATAATTAATAAAAATAATTAGCCAGGTTTTAGGTTACAGTAGCCTTTATATCTAGAAATAGTTTACCATTAAGTCCATTCATTTTAGGGACCAGTAGTTAGCGTAATGGCTATCTTGCTGGACTCCCATGTGGTCAACTGCGGTGCGCGTCCCAGACCCGGTAGCTTAAACCTCACACCGGGTGCGTGTGCGTGCATGCCCAAGGTCCCGAGAGGAGATTGGAGAAGGGATTGCGGCGTGGCCATCCCCCCTGGGGGGTGATTTCTTGCTTTCTGTCTGTGTCTCTCTCTGTCTGTCTGGCGAGAGCACATGCCCTATAGCAAAAACCTCTCCCAAAAAAAAAAAAAAGTCCATTCATTTTAGAGAACTGTTTGATGGAAACTTCTGGTTTTGTAATGTACTTTTTCACAACAAAAGAAACTTACAGTGGTAACTGAAATCAAAGAAAACCAAACAGAATTATTCCAGATGAAATCACATTGGTTTACCTTAAAATCTACCTACCTATTGTTACAACTTGAGACTCAGACCCTTAGCCTTACACAAAATCTTCAAAGGCTATTCCTAAGTCCCTGAAATTGCTCACATGTGCACCCTCTCAATTCCTATGAATTGTTACAGCATTATCTTCAAATCTCTTCCCTCTGGGATTAAATGCTTCCGTATTCTCAATATCTCTCAGATAATAAACGGAACATCATTAACCAAGAAAGCTCTGTTTACTGGGCCAGCTCTGTGGCTAGCTGAGAGCCGGGTTCCACATGGTCAACAGAGTCCCGGGCCCAGTGGCTTGAAAAATGCCAAGTATATGTGAGTGTTTGCCCAAAATCCTGAGAGGAGAGAAACAGACAAGGGGTTACTGCATGACCATTCCCCATAGCAGCGCGAAGGGGGTGTTTTCTTACTGTCTCTCTCTTTTCAATACATGTGCCCTCTGGCAAATTAAACAAAAACAAAAACAAAAACAAAAAAAGAAAGCTTTGTTTACTGATTCTCCCCCTCCCCAAAACTTCTGATACCATAGATGTAAAACAATTTCAATGATTCATGAAGGAAGCCATTTAAAATGAGCTGACTTCCTTATACTGGGTTGTTGGGGAAGCCATGACACATTTTTGTATAGAAAAATACCTCGTGACTTTCCCGTTGACCTAATAAAAGCCATCTATTCTGACTGGAAGACAGTACTAACTCTAACACACTTAGTTGTACACAGAATATACATTTGAGGACTTCAGGAATTCCTCAAAATGAAAAGAAGCTGTAAGAAAAAAATCCATACCTGACTAAGAAGTTGTCCATGAAAAATGTTGTTGACCACATTCAGAACTTGTTTGATAAGTTTCCTTTGAGACGTGGGGAGAAGAGCCGGTAACCTGGTACCCGTGGTCTCGAGTTCATGCTGTATTTTATCCAAAAGTTCACAAAGAAACTCCTGAGCATCTTGTTGAGCGTAACCACGGAACGCAGGAATCAGTCTCCACACCGAGTGCAGCATAGCGAATGGTGAGACCAAGGCCCACTTCCCAGACCACATGACTTGGAATAAGGTATGCAACTCATGACAAAGAGAAATGTACTGGGAACTTGGCTCCTTGGGCTGAATTAGTTCCATCTTCCTACTTTTGGACGCTCCACCACTTAGTCCTACGGATAAACTTGGATGTCTGGAGCAAACATAGCCTGTATCTGTCTCTTGGCACTCACTCACTTGATATACCACGGCGTCCGTGACGGGTGGATGTCTATAGGATGACCTTGTTGACTCGCTAGCTGTCACAGCCAGCCACCGGTTCAGATCAAGCTTTAAAAAACACTGTCGAAAAATAAGTAAATGACTCAACACTTGAAGAACAGAATTCATATAGCAGGTGTTTCCCAAATTTCTCAATCCGGTTACGCCAGGCGTTACTACCGGCCGGCGTTTGCCTGAGGAGCCGCTGGGTTTCCTAAGTCTTCCGTCGGCCGAGGTAGGTGGGACTTTATCTTTTGTTGGCGATGCTGGAGCCGGTGGCGGTACCTGAACGGGAACGATTTCTACTGTGGTGGACCGAGCTAGGTCTTGCAAACGTAAACTCTTTCTCGCGGGCATTTCCAGTTCCGATTTCATTTGATACTCGAATTCTTGCCTCTTTTTCTTCGACTCCCTTTTTGCTACCACGTTTTCCTGAACTTGTTCTTCTCGCCTTTTTCTTCCAATAGGTGATCGTTCAAACCAAGTTCGAAAGATTTTAGCCATGAGGATCCTCCTCCTGTGCCAAAGAGCAGTATACGTTTGATCTTCATTGCGAAGGAGGGATTGGGCACCATCATGTACAAAGAAGGAACCATCTCCTGTCCCCGCAGACGGCACGTCCCTTGTGCTGGGAGTGGCGCACTGGTAATTCTGACTTTTGATTGCACTTAACGTGTTCCGGAGTAACTTCAGGTCTTCGGCCGCGTTGTCGTTAAGCACATAATCATCACACAGGTAACAAAACACATACATCTCGTTCACCGCCAGCGCCACAGGATGACTGCTTTCTCGAAAGTGCTTCAGCGCATGCTCCTCGATGTACCTTCCACAGGCCACGTGGGAGCAGCTAAGGCAAGCCCAGATGGATTCGGTCGTATTGCAGTCCACGCAGTGCCACTTCTGGGGGCTGAGCACGGACTGGTCCTGGGAGAGCCGCAGCTGCTCAACGTGTCTGCACGGATCCATCGCTAACCTTTATGGAGTCCGGCCGAGACGCACATAATCCGAACGAGCTGCAGCTCGTGACGCTTGAAGCATCTGGAAACTAAGCAGAAGAGTATTAATGTGTAATAAAATAAAAACAAAGAAACAGTCTTTTTTTTTTTTTTTTTTTTTTTTTTAAATGTTAGGTGTTTATTTCCCAAGAATAACAGAAACGTATTCCCTCTGCTCCCAGTTCCTGGATGGCCCATCACACTGTCACACTGTTGCTGGCGGTTCTCGCTCTCCGCTTGCTCCAGACATCCCTCGTCTCTCACCGCTTTATTCTGGACCTGTGACACTTCGCTTTCACTCATGGTTGCGCCATCTGGTAGGGACTAGGGGGTAGTGACCGCTGTTCACTGACCCAGAAGAACTACTCTTTTGTACCCAATAGTTTGGGGGTAGTTACCGAAACTACTGGGTCGTAGGGGAAAGTCATAATACATTTTTGCATAAAGAAATCACGTCATGGGGGCTGGCAGGTGGTGTGGTGGTTAAGGGTGCTGGACTCCCACATGGCTGACCGTGGTTTGAGTCCTGGACCTGGTGGCTTGCTTTCTCATTTTCTCTCTCTCTGTCCCTCTCTGGTCGATTAAAACAAATAAATAAATACAGTTAAATAATTCTTGTAAACATACACATACATACACACACACACACACACACACACACACACACACCATGACTTTCCTGATAACCTAATACATTCCTTTTCTTAAAAATTGGTGCTAACTTTTTCTCATGACTAAAGCCAGAGGGATCTCAACCTGGCTCAAGACACTGGCTATCACTGTTGTCTTCGGCATATTTTTACCCCCACCTCCAAGACCCTTAATAATGTGGTTTGACATACAAAGAAGTTGGGGCTAGAAAGACCTAAATATATCTCCATAATATTAACAAATATTCTGAGTCCTCTGTGGAGTTACTGCAGCATAATCATATATTAAAAAAGCACAGGTTCCTGGTCTGGCAGGGGCAGGTGGCATAGTGGTTAAGGGTGCTGAACTCCCACATGGTCAACTGCGGTTCGAGTCCTGGACCTGGAGGCTTGCTTTCTCACTTTCTCTCTCTCTCTCTTTCTCGCTCTGTACCTCTCTGGTCAAATTAAAATAAAGTTAAATAAAATAATTCTTTAAAAATATAAAAGACATGGGACCAGCAGGTGGCATGGTGGTTAAGGCGCTGGACACTCCCAAATGGCCGACGCTGGGTTCTGAGGCAGAAAAATAGTTTTAAACTCTCTTTCTGCTCTATACTCCTAGATGTATTATTTTCTTTATTTTTATAGAGATTTTTTTGCTATAGGGCATGCACGCTTGCAAGGGACAGAGACAGAAGGCAAAAAGTCACACCCTCCGGGGGAGATGGCCACACCGCAATCCCTTCTCCATTCTCCTCCAGGGATTTGAGCATGCACGTGCATATGCCCTGAGTGCATTTCAAGCCTCTCAACCGCAGCTGCCATGTGGGAGTCCAGTCACGCCATCTGCTGGTCCCCTTAGATGTATAATCTTGAGCAACATTTCAACTTCTCTGTACTTCATCTCTAAAAGAGGGAGAGTCATACCAACTCCAAATGAATTGTTAAAGGAGAGAAAACATAAAATATCTGATACATGGTACATGTTCAACAAATGGTAGCTATATGAAAGAAATCTTAATATTTCATTGAAATAAGTCATATTCAATATTCTGCTTAATTGCCATTAAACTAGGCTTTCCATTTAGTAAACCAATAATTACTTTGTGTGTGTGTGTGTGCTAGACATGTGTGCACACCAGAGAAAGGGACAGAGAGAGGAGAAATGCTTCCATGAGGAGTGGTCATGCCCCAGTGCCCTCTCCTCTATGTCTCCCTGGTTTCATTCGGGGCATACATAAACATGTGTCCAGCATGTTTTTCAAGCTGCCAGGGCCAAGATTTGAACCTCATTGGCCATTTGGGATCCTCTGCCTTAACCACCAAGGCCAAGGAACTGGCCTCAATAATTAACTTTAATTCATGGGCTTTATAACATACTGACTTGATAAATTTGACTGTTGACCTTATAGAAATGACAGAAAGATTTGACCCGAGAGAGAGAGAGAGAGAAAGAGAAAGTGAGAAAGCAAGCTACCAGGGTCTGGAACTGCAGTTGGTCATGTGGGAATCCAGAGGTCCTAACCTTCACCACCTGCTGGCCCCAATAACTTTTTTAAAATAATTATTTTATTAACTTCATTTATTTTTTAATTTGACCAGAGAAGGACAGAGGGAGAGGGAGAAGGAAAGAGAGAAAGCAAGCCGCCAAGTCCTGGATTCGGTGTCTTGAAACTCATGCCTGGTACATGTGCGTGCATGCTCAAGATCCCAGCCAGGAACTTACCATGAAAAATAAACACATAAAAAAAAAAAAAAAGGTAAAAATAAGTGACTATTTCATAAAGTGACGAATAAGGGAATTCATCTCTATGTTCAAATCTGAACAGACCCAAATAACATCATGCTGTATTCTGAAGTGTCTCCTCTCATACCTCATGCTGTCGTCAAACAACACTCACATACCGTTTACACCTTATATCATCCTCAGGCACAATTTTACAATGAATACAAGACTGTTTCAAGTCCTGAGAGACCACAAGATAAACCTAAGCTTCTTACCATGGCTTGCAAGAGCCTTGAAACTGTGGCAAGATGTATCCTTTTCGACCCAGATCCGAAACATTGCCCACATCTTTTAAGTGTTTTTATATACAAATGATCACATTGTACATAAATAAGGTCAACTGCTAAAACTTCATATAAAGTGTGACATGCACATTTTATAGCAACACATATGCATGTGACTTCAGTTAAAGGAAAAAAAAAGAAACAAAACTACTGTATACCACTGGGCACAAAGTAGAACATTAACATGAAACCGCGTCCCAGTAGTGTCCCAGTAGTCGTCTTTATCTCATTAAAGAAAATGACCCTGAGGACTCTCAGAGGGATGACTATAAGACATACGTTGACTCTTTCATTTAAGGAAGATAATTTTGGGGGACGAACCAGTTTAACAGTAACAGGTAACCTAAGCAGCTCCTGCAAAGGCTAGTAAAGCTAGGAAGACGCATTTCCATAATAAAAGATAGGAGGAAATGGTCATTTCAGTAGGAAGCAGGCCTTAGGAATGACTAGCCACCAGTCCTCCCATTCATTTGGGTAAGAATGAAGATGGCTTGAACCCTGGTTTGGAGTCCTGAGGGTAAACCGTACCCACTCCGATGAGCAGTTTTCAGTTTTCCATTTACTTCACAGAGCCACGTAGGACCCGGCCCTCTTCAGAGATGTTTGTAAAATGCCAAGGGTCAAGCAGAGTGCTCGGTAGACAAAAAGGGGTTCAATATTTTTGAATGAACAAATTATGGAGCGAAGGCACACAATGGGCTCCCAGACTCCCCCTGCTCCCTCTCAGGCAGGCTATTATGGCTATTGTATGCCTTGGCACCTCTCCGTGTCAATCATGATGTATTTCCTTGCCTTTATCCCTGGAAGGGCCCTGGTTAGTCTTTGCTTCCTTTAGAGATCGAGAATCTATAATTACCCTGATCTTGCTTGAAACTCCTCATTAAACAAAAAAGGATACCCATTTTCCCTGAGTCTTCCTCCCGGCTCCAATATGCCTCCGCTGAAGGTCGCAGAATGAATCTAGTTCAAGGTATTTTAAGAAAAAGGTCCAGGGAAAGCAAGTTCGGCCTCCAGGTTATTTTAGAGCTCCTCACCCCAACTGCTACTTACGAGTTATCAATCCACGGGCGATTCTGTTGCAAAATACCTATTAGTACCACACCAACGTATGTACACCTCGATTTACTGAGGTGAACTTCGTAACAACGGGGTGGGGGTCAGAAAAACATTTAGCATAGGAGAATCTATGGGTCTAATCAATTGAGTTCAAATAGTTCACGAATAAAATCCCCAGACTCCTCACTCTGGCATTCTAGTGCATCTATGAGTTGGAGAACCGAGTCTACCCTGAGAGGACAGATCAAATGTTTCCTATGACATGCAACACTCTCTCTTACGGTGACATCCAAAAGTGTTGTGTATATCAGCTGCACTTTTTACAATAATCCCGTTGCCAGGAAGCTGGTATGGGTAGAATCCTTCTGTATTTTAATTACTTGCCATCTGGTTAGAATGGGTCCACCAGCAAAATGGACCCCCCCATTACTGAATCCAGAGAATGGTTTGGTACATAGTTTATTTCCTGTGTTGACTGAACTCAGTACACGCCACAGCCTCAATTCCAAGAGGATCTAGCAACATTACCGCAGGACAGGGAGAAACTTCAAAGAACCTTCTACTGCTGCTACCAATAAGCCAAAACGGTGCTTTCACGCCACCTCTGCCATCCCCAAACTCGAATGCAACAAACATTCACGGGGCAATTTCCTCCATCTTAAGCAGCTAGGCAGGTGCTGTGGATGCACACCCTTAGTCACTCTTCAACTTCAAACGGGATGAGCAGAGAATTCTATGTACCAAATGCTACAATACTTAAGATTTAAAGTGAGTAGAAGTTTGTCAGAATGTACACTTGATGCCTTTTTTTTTTTTTTTTGTAGTACTAAAAGAAAAATTTGGGAAAACCCGGAAAAGATAATTAGGCAGAAACACTGTATTTCAAATATTTCACCCAAATCGTCAGCAGATTTTTCCATTTTACATATTCCAAAAGATGAATCGTTACATATTAAACGAAATGCTGATTCACTTATTTAAGTTTTTTTTTTTTAAGTTAAAAGAATATGAACAACAAAAAAGAATATGAACAAGTAGTATTTTGGAAGAAAAAAGACTGATGTCAAAACTTTTGAACTTTGTAAACTGTATGAAACGAACTATTTGTTCGATTGAATTACTCTCAATTTCAACGTGGATTGTCTACCATGATAACTACTGGATTGAAAAACATCTGCTATCCCCTGTGTAATTAATGGATAGTTCACAAAAAGCC